TCAGATCACAGAGAGATTCAAAACGGCCACCGTGAAGACGACACAGCGTAGAGAACTTGGCTGGCAGCACAGGCTACAAAAGGGTCAGGCCCAGGTTTGAAGCCCTGGCACCTGAGCACCGTCTGGGGCCGCTCCTGGGCACGGAGTCAGGAAGACCCTCTGAGCACCGCCAGGTGTGTCCCACCACCCCACCAAGAGGTTTGACACCAAAAACATAATGAACTTCATGTTGATTGTTACCTGCCAAGTATTATTTGGGGGGGGGGGGGGGGGACAAGAAAAATAAATACAAGTATTATTTCAACACACAGAAATCAAGTGAAGGAAAACCATTCAAATTTCTTTCACCGTAAGTCCACAGCCACAAGTCACTGGGCAATCAGCGCGCTCACCAACACACCAGCACTCCCAGTCAGCCCTGCTCCTGAACCCAGGGCCGGCCCCTTAAGCCATAGGGACCTTCTCCCTCAAGAGGGGAAAGAGCACCGTCTGGAAAAGCTCGCCAACACCTGCCCCCAGGTCACTGTCTAACCCCCTTAACAAGAGGACGGAGAGACTGGAGAGCGGGGAGCTTGCCCTGCACAGAGTTGACCCGTGTGTAATTCCTGGCATGACGTATGGTCCCCCAGAGCCCTGCCAGGAAGTGATCTCTGAGCACAGGGCAAGGAGTAGCAGTGCCACACTGCCAAGTGTGGTTCAAAAGCCAAAGAAGTTTGAACACGGTCACTCTGGTGGTAGAGGAGACGCTGCCTCCTGCATGCTCAGAGCTAGAATTCGGAAGTGCCTTGGGACAAGAGTTTTTCAAGGAAAGAATGAAAAACATCTTTCACATAAACGGTATCCCCAAAAAAAGCTCTCCATGTGTGGTATCGCAAAAGTGGAGGCTCAAGAAATGAGAGGGGGCTGGAGCCATAGCACAAGGGCTAGGGCGTCTACCTTGCACGCAACCGACCCAGGTTCAATCCCCAGCATCCCATATGGCCGGTCCCCTGAGAACCGCCAGGAGTCATTCCTGAGTGTAAAGCCAGGAGTAACCCCTGTGCATCGCCAGGTGTGACCCAAAAAGCCAAAAAAAAAAAAGAGAGAGATTGGTGCCATAAAGCAGGTAAGCTGCTTGCCTTACATGCAACCGACCTGGGTTCAATTCTCAACAACAAATATGGTCCCCAGAGCCAGGAGTAAGCCCTGCGCACTGCTGGGGGGTGGGATCCAAAACCGAAAAAAAAAAAGTTAGAAAATAAAGAAATGGAGCTTAACCTAGAATAGCAAGAAAAAACACAAGTAGGTGAGAAGAACAATTGCAAAGTGGTGAGCAGAAACACAATGAGGTGTAAGAAGTACTGACTCACAAAGGGTGCTGGAAGTCAGCACCCAGCACGCCTTCACCACAGCGGACATGAGACTCCTGGAAGGACAAGGCCACCCTCCTGACTGACCAAGTAGCTTGAGCAGAAAGAGCCTGAAGTCGGTGGTGGAGAATGGGGCGCTGGAGGAGGGAAGGGCATTTGGTCACCGTATAACTGAAACCCAAGCACGAAGTTTGCAAGTCTACAACTGTACCTCACGGTGTTTCACTAATAAATAAACAACTAAAACAGTGAAGAACACGTTCCTAATGCGGAGTCAGAAGCCACCTATGAAACTCGCTCAAGGAAATGAGGGTGGGATGGGGAAGCGGCTGGGAGAAGAAAACACTGGCCACTACTCTGCTTCCCGGGGAAGCATCGACCTAAAGCAGAACGAAAGGCCTTTAAGATCTTCCCAGTTTTAAACTGCAGATCTCAAAATATTCCAAGTCATGGACACTACGCCACCAAGTACAGAACGGACATCACCCACGGCGCAGCCAGGGCAACGCACCTGGCCATCCCAAGTCCCGTCCCTGGCACCCCACATGATACGGGGCCACCAGGAGTGACTCTGTTGCAGTTCAAAGCGAATCCCTGAGTACTGGTGTGTGACCCAAAAACAGCAAAAACAAGGGAGAAAGAGAAAGAAAGGAAGGAACAAGGATCGGCAGCAAGTGTTTCTCCCACTCCATGGAGAGGAAGCGGGTCTGGCCTCGCTGTGCAACGCAGCAAGGTACCAAAGTGACCACACGCCACACTCTGCAGGCACTCCGCGGCACCAAGTCCCCCTCCGAAGCCCCCTAAACACATTCCAACAGAATCGACCGAAGGCTCCGTTTCTGTCAGCCCAGGGGCAGTCCGAAAGAGCGCTCCGCTTGTTTCCTACCTCGCTTCTCACCTTCCTACGTGCTCATCTGAAAAGCCACCAAGAAGCTGACAAAGCGTCAACCTCTCCCGGGCTGCAAAATGAGCCATTTCAGCCTGCCAGGTTAAATGCTTCATCACGCGAACCATAAAAGCACTGCCCACTTCCCACTGGAAAGGAAGGATCCCCCTGCTCCTCCCCCAGGAAAAAAACAGACCTGCCCCCTCCCTGTAAACCGCATTTAAGTAATTTAATCGGCACTGTGAACATTCACTCTTGATTGCAGCATGCCACTGCTCAATGCTGGCGAGCACTGCCGGCACAACCTCACTAATTGTCCTGGCTCTCCGAAGGTGCCCAATTACTCCTCCAGCTGTCTCTGCGGGCTCTAAGACCACACACCCAGGAAGGACCCGGGGACTCCAGAGTATCTGCCATATTCTCCACGAATCAACTAGAAATGCCGCTACACGAAATATCCCAGATTATCGCTTTCAGTTCCTACCGGGTAAAAAGGGGCTGTGTCTCATTTCACAGCAACAGGATAAAGGGGCCAGAGAGACAGTACCGTGGAGGGGGCACATGCCCTGCAGTCTGATCCCCGATATCCCACAGGGTCCCCCAAGCCCACCAGGACTGATGCCTGAAGTGCAGGGCGAGGAGTGACCCCTGAGCACCAGTGGGCGTGGTCCAAAAGTGAAGAAGAAAGAGGATACAAAAGTAATAAGCCAAGAAACCCATCACACTTGCTACAAAGTTTTTTTCTAACAAGGAACCTCTAGTGAATAAAGCATCGAAATCAAATGCCCAAACCAGGAACCATTTCTACTAGAGTTCAGCACTAGCTCACGTGTAGTCAGCCTCAAGGAAAACTAGCAGCTGTGAAGCGTCACAATGGGGGCTGGGAGAGGGTCCAGTGGGGAGGGTCCTCGCCTCGCATGCAGCTGACCCAGGTTCCACCCCCACACCCCATTCGGTCCCCCCCATAGCGGAAAGCCAGGTGTAGCCCAAAGATAAACCAAAAGGGTGCCATAATGGGACCAGAGAGAGAGAGAGAGAGAGGGCGTACAGAGGCAGGGGTGCCCTCGCTAAGGACCTGAGGATGGACACCAGAGGTGTCCACAAACAACAAAAGGTGCTAAGTACAGCAGGAACACAGTCCTGGAGCATACAACGGCACCAAAAATGGAAACGCCAGGAAAAATCCGTATTTCTCGTGCAGCCTAGGTAGAGCGCGGAACCCGGAAGGGACTGAAGATGTGCTGCCTTCCCCTTCAAGCAGTTTCCCCAGCAAATGGGGCAGGAGCTGGCACCACAGCGCCCAGGGAGGAGCAAAGGCTTAGGAACCGGGGGGCCACAGAGGGTGCCCGCCTTGCACTCAGCCAACCGGGGTGAGATGGCACGGGGTCCCCTAGAGCAGGACTGCGCCCGAGCCCTGAGCCCAGAGCCGGGAGTACGCCCTGAGCATGCCAGATGTGGACCCCCCCCCAAAAAAAAAAAAAAACAACTGGAACAAGCGAATGGAAAAAACAGCAGGACCTCAGCAACCCCAGGCCCTGAACTAACTTTCCGGTTCTCGCGTGGCCCGGGACCACGCACAGTGTGAATCAACGCGTCCTCCCAAGGGCATCAGGGGAGCAGGGGAAGCCACGCACCAGCCGACTCTCAAGGCTCGGCTCAGGGCACTCTGGAATCAGGGCAGCGAGGACCGGACCCAGAGGGGGCAGAGCATGGGCGAAAACACAGTTTCCGTTTCAACGGCTGCTCCTGATATCAAGTCAAAATCTACTTCGGGTGATCTGGCTGGGAAACCACAATCCAAGAAATCAGTTGTTTTTTTAAAAAAAAGAAAAAAAAAAAATCAAGCAGCGCTTCCAACTTCTCCCTGAACTCAAGGCCAAAACCCGTTTAGGAGACTTGAGTCAAGACCCCCAGAGCACTTAAGGACCTCGGCTGGCTCCTGATTCGAGGAGCCCAGCTAGCCAAAGAGAAAGGACGTGGGTCAATCACGGGGCCACCCTGGGCTCCTCCCTGCTGAGCCGGGCCCGGCCGGACTCTCGGTTGGTTCCTCATTCCCCGAAGCAAACCCACTCTCGGGCGGCCTCCGCTCCGGCGCTCGAATGACCACCGTGCCCGCACCCTGGACCCCCACGCACCTCCTGCCCAAGCAGCCTGGCAACGGGGGGTCTTTTGTTCCTCCCGGGGGGGGGGGGGAAGCAGCAGGGACAGAGCCTCCCCGGCCCGTGCTCCCGTGCTCCCGTGCTCCCCTCCCTTCCGACCCAGCTGCGAGGTCCAGAATTCCTGCGGCTGGCCTCGGGCCGGCCCGGGGAAGGCCGGAGAGGCCCGTGACCACCGTCCGGCACCACCGGACCCGTCCCATGGACACTCCCGCCAGGGCCCCGGGGGTCCCCGATCTCGAGGGGGAGGCGCGTGGCACCCCCGAAAGCCCCGGCCAGCGGGAGGAGGAGGAGGAGGAAGAGGAGGACGCGGGTGGACTTTGCGGCCAGCTCGGGGCGGGTGGGGGAGGGGCCGGCAAGGGCGATCGGCCTTTGCGGGGGGGCGGGGGGAGGACGGACACCCCCCAGCCCACCCGGCGGGGCCCGACCGCCCCCTCCCCTCCCCTTCCCCTCTCCGGCACCGAGGCGGAAGCTGTCAAGCGAGCGAGCGAGCGAGCGGCGGCGCCCCCCACCCACCCACCCATGCACCCACCCACCCGCCCGCCCGCCGGGGTCGGGGGTCGGGGGTCGCTGAGGAGGGGGGGCGGGGGGCACCGGGGGCGGCGTTACCTTTGTAGAGGTTGGTGACGGCGGTGGCTGCGTTTTGGAACGGGACCCAGAGCGACAGTCCTGGCTGCTGGCACACCCGGTCTGGAGACAAAGGGCGGCGGGGGGCGGGCGGACGGACCGACGGACAGGGGGGAGGGGAGGGAGGGAGGGAGAGAGAGAGGCGGCGAGTCAGCGGGCGGCCCGCACCGGCCATGTTGGGCCTCGCCATTTTGTGCCGGGCTCGGGGCGGGGGGCGGGGGGCGGGTCGGGGCGGCCGCGCAGACCCCGCCCCGGGCCACAAAGGGCCGCCCCCCCCCGCCCCCCCCGCCCCGCCGCCGCCGCCGCCGCCGCCGCCGCCGCCGCCGCGCGCCGCCATCTTGGGCCGGCCGGCCCCTCCCGCGCGCCGCGACCCCCGGCCGCCCCCCGCCCGCCGCCATCTTGGGGGCGCGGCGCCCTCACCCTGGTAGAGCTGCGCCACGGCCGTGGCCGAGTTCTGGAAGAGGTGCCAGAGCTTCTGCTGCCGGAGCTCGGGCTGCGCGGCCGCCGCCGCCTCCTCCTGCAGCTCGGGCGGCAGCTGCTCGTCCTGCTCGGCCTCGGCCAGGCACTGGCGCTCCCACTTGGAGAACCAGTGCTCGGGCCCGTGCTCCTGGATCTCCGCCTCGCCCTCCTCCCGCCGCTCCTCCATGGCCCGCGGCCGCCGCCGCCGCCGCCGCCGCGTCCGCCTCGGCCGCCGCGTCGTCGTCGGGCGGCCCCGGGGGCGGCGGCGGCGGCGGCGGCGGCGGCGGCGGCGCGGCCCGGCCCGGCGCGGCTCGCTGGGCCCGCGGCCCCGGCTCCGGCCCCCGCCGCGCCCGCCCGCTCCGCGCCCGGCCGGCCCGAGCCCGCCTAGCGCCGCCGCCGCCGCCGCCGCCGCCGCCCGCCGCGCGCCCGCCCTGCGCCGCCGCGCCCCGCGCCGAGACTGAGGCGCCGCCGCCGCCGCCGCCGCCGCCGACGCCTCTGCGGCGGCCCGTCCCCGCCCGCGCCCGCCCACATGCCGGCGGCCAGGCGCCGCCCCCCGCCGCCGCCCGGCCCCGCCGCGCCGCGCCCGCCCCGCGCCTCCCCATTGGCCCGCGCCCGCCGCTTCCGCCCGCCGGCCGCGCCGCCATTGGCCGCGCCGCGTGACGTCCTCAATGGGGCGGGGCCGGCCGCGGAGGCAGGAAGGCGAGGGCGGGGGCGGCCGGGGAGGCCGAGGGGGCGGAGCCGACCCAGCAGGAAGCGGGGGGAGGAGGGAAAAAAAAATAAAAAAAAAAACACACCCGGGCGAGGGCAGGCGCCGCGCATGCGCGCTCGCCCGCAGCCCCGGCCCGGCCGCCCGGCTGGGTCACGTGGCGCGGCGCCGCGGCCGCGCCCCGCGGGGCCCTTTCCGCCGCCGACTTCGGGGGTCGCCCGCCCACCCCCGCCTCCGGCAGGCCCCGGAGGGAGGAGGAGGAGGGACGCGGAGGGTGGGAGGAGGGCGAGCAGGACGCCCGGCTCATCTCCAAGTTCGCGACGCGCTGCGCTCCAGGGGCCCGTTTCTTGCAAACCGAGCCCGGGACGCCGGGGCGACGCTTGCAGCGGCGATGACCGCCCCGACGCCCCCCTGGACTCAGGCCGAGCCGCCAGGGGCAGGGGCAGGGGCAGGGGCAGGGGCAGGGCAGGTGGGCCCGGGGCGCCCCGGTCCCGCTCCCGCCGCCCGCCGCACCCCTCCCCGGCGACCCGGGCTGCGCCCTGGACAGTCCAGGCTGGCCCGTCGGGGTCCCCCGCGGCCGCCCTGACCGCCCCCTCGCTCGGCCCACGGACGGGGCTCCCGCCTGGCCAGAGGCAGAGCGAGCGGGTGTCCCGCGGGAGACTCCGCGCTCGGGGTGGGTGCGGGGTCCGAACTCCGAAAAGCGAGTTCTGGTGGGGTGGGAGGTCCCCAGCCTGGGTCCCCAGGAAGCCTGGGGTGCAAAGGAACCCAGGGGCGGGAGTGGGTGCAGGAGGAAGGCCCCGTCCCTGGGCCAGCGCGGGCAAGCACTTTGTCTGGTCATCAGTACTCGAATGCACGAGCCCTGCAAAAACACGACTTGTTGATTCTCCAGTCTTTCACACACACACACACACACACACACACACACAGCGGGGCTAGCGCGTGCAGGTGTTAGCGCCGCTCGTTGGGTGTGTGGTGGGCTGGGGGTCGTCCCCTAGTACCGAAAAACCCCAAACACCCCCAACACGAAAGTGACACAACCACCCCGAGCACTGCTGGGTGTGTCCTCCAAAGCCCAACATCAAAAATTAAAAAAAAAAAAAATGAAATGATGATTGCAAAGAGAACACATGAAAATCTTGAGCTTTTTGTACAGCCTTAAAAGGATAAAAAAAAATGACAAATGTGCCATCAATTAAAAAAAATGTGCCTTCAGAAAAAGAAAGAAATGTTTTAAAAGAAGAAAAACAATGTATCTTAATATGTACCCTTTGTATTATCTCCCTGCCCTCCTCCGCTCTGAAAAACATCTCTGAGCCAGATAGTACAGGCATGAGGGCACTCGCCTGGCATGTGACTCACCCTGGTAAAATCCCTGGCATTACATCGGGGCCCTGAGTACTGCCAGGGGTCAGTCACACCTGAGCCTGGAATGAGAGCCTGAGCGTTGCTGGATGTGGCCAGCCTCCCCCCACCCCAAAGTACATCAGGATAACCAAGGAAAACTGAATTAGGGGCTGGGGAGGGGAGGGCGTTTGCCTTGGACACGGCTGACCCGGGTTCAAATCCCAGTATCCCATATGCTCCCCCGAGCACAGCCAGGAGTGGTTCCTGAGTGCAGGCCCAGGAGTGACCCCTGAGCATCACTGGGTATGACCCAAAAAAAGCCAAAAAAAAAAAAAAACTGGATTGGGTGCATACACGCATTTCTGCATGCATTCGTGCAAGTGAGAGAGTGTGTGTTTGTGTGTGTGTGTATGTGTGTGTGTTATAAAGAAACCCAGAAAGGATAGACTATGGTCATCGATAACAGACTCTGAACCTGCCTAGAGAACACAGTCAGACAGTGGGGTGGGCGTGGGGACAGGAGACAATGAGAAAAGTCCAGCACAGAGTGGGGGGCGTTGGCACTCTGGTGGCAGGTGTGTAATGACGCTATATTCCCAAAACATTACTAACACGATTGTTAATCGTGGTGCCTCAATTTATTTTTTTAATTATAGCCTTATGTAGATTTTGATTTCTTACATCTTTGTCAAACATGCAAATGTAACTTTATGTATTTATTTATTTTGCTTTTTTGGGTCACACCTGGCGATGCACAGGGGTTCCTCCTGGCTCTTCACTCAGGACTTACTCCTGGCGGTGCTCAGGGGACCATATGGGATGCTGGGAATCGAACCCAGGTCGAAGGCAAACGCCCTACCTGCTGTGCTATTTCTCCAGCCCCGCAAATGTAACTTTAATACGTATACGCAAACACTTTTGTTGTTGGTTTTGTTCTGGGCCACACTGAGATGCTTGGATTACTGCTGGCTCTGCGTTCAATAATTACTCCTCCCCAGGCTGGAGCGATAGCACAGCAGGGAGGGTGTTTGCCTTGCATGTGGCTGACCCATGTTTAACCCCCAGCATCCCATATGGTCCCCCCAAGCACCACCAAGAGTGATTCCTGAGCGCAGAGCCAGGAGTAGCTAGCCCCTGGGTGTGACCCAAAAAGAAAAATAAAAAAAACACTCCTCCCTTTGGCTCTCCAGCCCCAATGTAAAAGGTATTTTAGGCCGTTTGTTGACACCGATTATTGTCCATATAATGACATTTTTCTTTTTGTTAAGTAAGCCCTAACACCAGGGTTTATTCCAGGTAACGTTTGGGGGACCATATGGGATGCTGGAGATTGAATCCTGGCGGGCCGCATGCAAAGAAGGAACCTTACCTAACTCTGCTGTCCTCTCACTCAGGCCAATGGCCAGGGTTTGATCCCTGGCACCTCATAGGATCCCCTGAGCACGACTAGGAGTAGTCCCTGTTCGTAGAGCCAGGAGAAAGCCCTGAGTATTCCTGGGTGTGATTCCCCCAAAATAAATCATCATAATCATGATTTTTTTTTTGTTTTTTGCTTTTTGGGTCACACCTGGCAATGCACAGGGGTTCCTCCTGGCTCTGCACTCAGGAATCACCCCTGGCGGTGCTCAGGGGACCCTATGGGATGCTGGGAATCGAACCCGGGTTGGCCGCGTGCAAGGCAAACGCCCTCCCCGCTGTGCTATTGCTCCAGCCCCCTTTTTTTTTTAAATTTTTTTTTTATAATCATGATTTTTTTAAGATGCTTGTACTGAAAAGTCCCCTGAACGCTCAGATCTTCTGGGAGAAAAGGGAGGCCATTTCCTACGAGTTTCTCAAACATGTACTCTGACCACTATCCAGCCCACAGCTGTTCTTCCCAAATTGAGCCTACATTACATGGGCAACCTGTCAGTTCAAGGACTACATTTCCCAGACTCCCGCGGGAGGCTGGACTACATTTCCCAGAATTCCACGGAGGCGAAGCTGATGAAATAATGAGAGGAAGTCACGGGGTGGGGCTTCCCTGTTTCAGAGGGAAGTGACCCAGCTGGCTTGCTTTTGCTCGGTTCTTCCTCCTTCCTGCCACCTGGGACGCATGCGAGGTGTCCTGGGCTGCAGCAGCCTTCTTGGCTCATGAGGTAGCCTGCATGGAGGAAGCCAAGTGGACGCTGTGGATGGCATTACAGAAAGGAAGAAAAGCCTCATGCGCCATCCGAAGCCTCTGCCAGACTTACTGGGGGAAAGGCAGGGAGGAGAAGGGAGACACGGAGCCTCCCATGTGGTGCTCCGGAGAAACCCCCAGGCTCGCTTCCTGGGCATTCCCTGGTGACTCAGTTACCAGGGGCTGGGAATGCAATGCTTTGCCAGGGGGTTCTGGGACCACCCCCCCGCTATGCTGGAGGGTCTCACTCATCGTGCTCAGAAGACGGGTAATGTGGTAGCAAGGTGCCAGCCAGGTTTAAGGCAAAGCCAGTGCCCTGGTTCCATCCGTCCTGCCCACAGATTTTCATTTAGGTTTTTCCCCCATGGTTCAGATCCCAAAGGGCAGCAAGGCACACGCCGCAGCTCTTGCCTAAAATGCTCTACACAGCGCCCAATTCATGGGGTGTGCTGTGCTTTGTGGAGATTCGAAGTTGAGGGTGTGGCCCTAGGTTCGGCCTGAACATTTTTTATTTATTTATTTATTTATTTATTTTTGCCACTTGCCCCCTGGCAAATAGGGCGCTCTGGTCTTCCGGTTATCACTTGATGCTTAGTGAGGAAGGTGATCTTCACACAGTCACGGAAAGAAATGACCCAGCCCCACCTCCCCACCCCCGCCCTATTGAGAGATGCCCTATTGGGAGAGAACACACACACACACACACACACACACACACACACAAGGTCAGAGAGATAAGATAGGAGAGCAGGTTGGGTGCTGGTCTTGCACTCAGCCAACCCGGGTTCGATCCCTGGCATCCCATATAGACCCCTGAGCACCGCCAGGAATAACCCTTGAGCATGTCGGGTGTGACCCAAAACCAAAGAAAGAACACAGGGACTGAGATTACTGTGGGTAAGGCACTTGCCTTGCACACAGCTTCCCAAGATTTAATCCCCCTGCACTGCGTATGGTCCCCAGAAGCCCACCAGGAGTGACCCGTAACTGTAGAGCCAGGAGGAAGCCCTGACACCACCA